GCTCGGACTCCTCGGGGCTGAAGAACATCCCCGGTTTCTTGGTCATCATCTTGGTGTAGACGGCGGCGTCGGGCTGGACTCGAACCACCAGCTCGTTCCTCTTGCAGCGGCCGAAGATGTCACCGGGGACGTCCCGGAACTGCAGCCGCACCTCGGCCTTGCGCTCGTTCAGGGCCTTCCCGCAGCGCAGCACGAAGGGGACACCTGGGGGACATCATCATCATCATCATCTTCATCATCAACATCATCATCATCAACATCATCTTCATCATCAACATCATCTTCATCATCAACATCATCTTCATCATCAACATCATCTTCATCATCAACATCATCTTCATCATCAACATCATCTTCATCATCAACATCATCTTCATCATCAACATCATCTTCATCATCAACATCATCTTCATCATCAACATCATCTTCATCATCAACATCATCATCATCAACATCCATCAACAGCAACATCAACCATCATCTCAATCATCATCATCAACATCATCAACCACCATCATCTTCATCAACATCATCATCAACATCATCTTCATCATCAACAGCAACATCCATCAACAACATCATCATCGTCATCATCAACCATCAACCATCCATCACCTTGCGCTCGTTCAGGGCCTTGCCGCAGCGCAGCACGAACGGGACACCTGGGGGACATCATCATCATCATCTTCATCATCATCGTCATCAACAGCAACAGCAACAGCAACATCCATCAACAACATCATCATCGTCAACATCAATGTCATCAACATCATCATCCATCAACAGCAACATCAACCATCAACAACCATCATCTCAATCATCATCATCAACATCATCAACCACCACCATCATCATCATCATCAACATCGTCAACAGCAACATCAACCATCATCCCAATCATCATCATCAACGTCATCAACCACCATCATCATCATCATCTAAACCAACATCAGCATCAACCATCATCATCATCATCATCAACCACCATTGTCATCATCATCACCATCAAAAACCATCATCAACCATCATCATCGTCATCTAAATCAACATCAACCATCATCATCATCAACCATCAATATCATCATCAACCACCACCATCATCATCATCATCATCATCATCATGGCGTCATCATCATCATCAACCATCAACCATCATCTCCATCATCAACCATCATCAACCATCAACCACCATCATCATCAACCATCACCAACCATCATCATCATCAACCACCATCAACAATCAACATCATCATCATCAACAATCAACCATCATCATCATCAACCATCACCAACCAGTATCACCACCGTCATCATCATCATCATCATCATGGCGTCATCATCATCATCAACCATCAACCATCATCTCCATCATCATCATCAACATAATCAACCACCATCATCATCATCATCAACCATCATCAACCATCATCTCAATCATCGTCATCATCATCATCTCCATCATCATCGTTACCACCAACCACCATCATCATCAACCACCATCATCATCATCATCATCATCATGGCGTCATCATCATCAATCATCATCATCAACCACCACCATCATCATCATCATCACCACCATCATGGCGTCCCCCCCTCCCCCCGTCCTCACCGTCCCACCGCTCGTTGGCCACGCGCAAGATGGCGGCGGCGAAGGTGGCGGTGGTGGAACCGGGGGCCACGGTGGGATCGTCCAGGTAGCCTTTCTGGGCCTCAGGTGGCCCCTCGGGGTCCCCCACGTACTGACCCAGGACCACGTCCTCCCGCTCCACCGGCCCGATGCTCTTCAGCACCTTCACCTGGGGGGGGAGAACATGGCGGGCCACCATCAAGGAGATGCTGTGGCCACC